CCTAACTCATCAGACCCACCAGTGTGCACAGGGAATTGTGGTTGAAAAGTGCTGCCTTGACCTCATTTCTTTTGAAGAAACATTTAAACAAAAGTACTTTGCCTTTTCTGAGCCTCATTTTCCTGTATCTTCATCAGTCAAATGAAAAATTTGGACTAAATAGGTACTAGAATGCTGAAACTGTCTGGAAGAAAGGAACTTTCCTAACCATCACATCAAACAACCATGATTTGGGAACATTTCTGCATATTTGGAATCTTTGATTTGTGTTCACTTGTATCTGCCCATCCACTCATTCAAATATCCCATCACCCATCCACCAACCAATCACCCACCCACCCAACCGTCCATCTACCCACCATTCATTCATCCATCCATCCACCAATCACCCATCGACCCAACATCCATCCACCCTGTCATCCATCCACCATCCATCCATCCGTCCATCCATCCATTTATCCAATAATCCATCCATCCAACCATCCCTCTAACCATCCATCCTTCCACCAACCATTCTTCCATCTATGCAACCATTCAGCCATCCAGGCATCCATCCACCAATCACCCATCCACATAGCCATCCATCCATCCACCCACCCATCCATCCATCCGTCCATGCATGCATGCATTCACATATTCAATGTTTATTATATGCTAGACACTGGGGAAACAATATTGAAAAGAGACAAGACTCAGTCTTCATTTACTCCAGTGTAGGGAACGATCATCAATCCATGTTGATGGCAACTGTGACTACAGCCATCACTAAGTGAGCCAGCCTGTGAAGCAGATCTGGAAGACCAGGAAGGCTTTGGTGACAAGGATGACCAGGGCTGAGACCTGCTGGGGAAGAGCCCAGGAGGGCTCTGGGCTCCAGGCAGATGCATGGATGGTGAGGTCCAAGTCGGATGAGACAGGAAAGGCAGCCGGGGCTACAGCTGATGGCAAAGCGGAGCCACCGGCTTATTTCTAAGCCATTTTGCTCTGGCTGCAGACTGGAAACCGGAATGAGGCAGCCAGAGTGAGTGGGAGGAGAGGCTGTAGCTCCCATGCAGAAGACGTGAGGCCAGCAAGTCCAGGGAAGCGGGAGGTGCGGGGGCCCCAGAGCCTGGCAGCACAGGGCTTGCGCTTGCCTTGCCTTGGGCGCTCTGAGACCCTGGGTCCAGGCTTACACGTCTCTGGGGCTATTTCTACGTGTGCGCAAGAAGGGCCATCTACTCGGCAGAGCTACGGAGTGGATTAAACCCAATCGTAACTGAAAAGCGCTCAGCATGGATCTGGCCTTAGTAAATGCTCCGTCTGTGCAACTTTCCTTCGGACGATTCTGCTTTATGGTTTTGCTGGCTTCCTCGAAGCCTGGTCGTTCAGGGGCCATGCTTGTGTTTCCTCTCCCGACCTCCTTCCCCTAACATTCTGGTTGGTTCGAGCGTACGTCTTCAGAACTGCGCACTTAGGAGCCCCTCTGGGGGTGACTGCCTCCCACCAGGGTAGCGGGGAGGGCATCTCCATTGCCTGCTCAGAACTTTGCTGCAGCAAATCACCTCTCCTCCCAGGTTGCTTTACCCTGTGCTTCCCCCTTTCTCCTGCTCGGGGTGTCTGGTGTGCGCCAAGGAGCCTGGGTGGCTCAGTGGGTTAAAGCCTCTGCCTTCGGCTCGGGTCATGATTCCAGGGTTCTGGGATCGAGTCCCGCATCGGGCTCTCTGCTCAGCAGGGAGCCTGCTCCCCCATCTCTCTGCCTGCCTCCTCTGCCTACTTGTGATCTCTGTCTGTCGAATAAAAAAATAAAATCTTAAAAAAAAAAAAAAAAAAAAGAGAGACAGCATCCGGCCTCATCCCACAACCTCAACTCAGAGGCAGCGCCCCCTACAGGCTGAAGACCTTCCGTCTAGGGCTCTGCGCTGCCTGGCCGGCAAGAGGGGGCCTTTGTTCTGAGCTGCATCTCCATCCCACACATTTTGATAGAATCTTGAAGCACAAAGGGACATTATGTAAGCTTCAATTAATGCAGAGCCCTCGCTGACCAGTTCTTGGGATTTTTCCTGCCCTTAGGCAAATTTGCTTCTGACAAGTGGCTTTAATCTGGTTTTAAAAACTGCTCCGGATGGGCAATCAAAGAAATTGCTGGTGCTCAGCTGGTGCTGAATAAACCAAGGAGGGTTTTATGTGGGGGGGCAGGGGTGCGGGAAGTGAGTCGTATGCCTCACACTCGGTGGGAATTTGCTCCTGGTTCTTGTCTAAGACCCACAGGTTTTCAAGCTGCCCAAACTGACTGAATCGGCCGTCTTGTCCCCAATGACACAGACTTCATTCCGCCTGAGGGGAACGCGCTAGCAGCTCCTGTCAGAGGCAGGGACAGGAAGTGGTTTTATTTATCTTCTTACCCGCGTGGAAGGGGGCTGTGTTCTGCGTGTCTGCAGCAGGCAGACGTGTGTGGGAGCACTTCGTTTCTGAATTACGCACCATCAATCTCATTAACTGCTAAGTGGTGTGACCCCACGTTAACGGGTGGGATGCAAAATGTGAAGTGGCGTAAAAAGGAAACCGGCCAGATGCCGAGTGCAGAGTGGTAGGTTCCAGAACAATCCAACAGCCCTGCAGCTTGGGAGCCTTCCCAAGCCTGGTGCTTCCGGGGGTGGTTCTGCGCACGGCCATCAGCGCCGGCCCAGAGCTTTCTGGGTGCAGCTGTCCTTGTGGCCAGCTGAGGATTAAAGGGATTTGGATAACTTACCCTCCGAGTTTTCTCTCCTTTGCCCTTGTCAGCTCTGCTTGTGGGTCTGAAAACATGAATCTGCTTGAGACAATAGCCAACTCTTTCTTGGGTCCCTCCTAAATATCTTCAGGCACATAGTTCATGTGTCACATGGGTGGGAACAGGCATTCCGTGAGGATGTTTGGTCTCGTGGTGATGCGTACACACCCCCCTCAAAGATGTCCAGTACATTTCAGAGGTGAGGGGCTTGGAGAGCGGCTGGAATGGAGTCAGGGAAAGCGCCTCGGGCATAAACCATAGGTACTGGTTTATCACAGTTCTGGAGGCTGGGATCCAAACTCAAGGAGGCACCTGCAAATTCGGTCTGGAGAGAAGCTGCTTCCTGGTCCGTAGATGGGTGATTTTTCGCTGTTTCCTCGAAAGGCGGAAGGGACAAGGGAGCTCTCTGGGGACTCGTTTGTAAGGCCACTAATCCCATGCATGCGGGCTTCCATCTTCAGGACCAACTCACCTCCCAAGGGCCCCACCTCCTAATACCACCCCTTGGGGATTGGGTTTCAACACGTGTTTATGAACTGGGGGGCCCCAAACGTTCAGTTTCCATCCTTGGAAGTTTGCATTCTTGGAGGCGGTACAGACTATTTTCCCAACCTTTCATTTTGGGAAATATGAAACCTCAAAATGTTGCAAGAAAGTACAATAAATACCCGTATACCTATACTGGGCCAGCAGGGGCGGTTTCTGACGAGACATTTCTTCTTGGCTTGCAGATGGTAGCTTCTCGCTATGTCCCCTTATGGCTTGTTCCATAAGGGAAGAGGAGTCTTTTCCTCTTCCTATTAGGACACTACTTAGATGGCATTAGGACTTAAGTCCTACGGCTTTATTTAACCCATTTACCTCCCGAAAGGCCCTATCTCCAAATATAGTCGCATGGGGGTGTTTAGGACGGCTGCATATGGATCTCAGGGGGACACAATTCAATTTTATAAATTTTAACAGGAATGTATTTCATCTTGCCACTGTGTGCATCCTTGATAAATGAATGTATGGGCATTGCCTTGCATTGGAAAGCTAGAATTTTGGTAGTGAATGTGTAGAGTAGAATCTTTTCTCTGGTCACGTTCAAAACACTGTGGGTCTGTGAATAGGTCAATGTATACATATGTAACAGTTGCAAGAACAGTCCATAGATTTTCCTACCTATAATAATTTTATTTTTTTCCCTAAAATAATTTCAAAGAACATGGTAAAAAGCCCCAGGAAAACCATACTTCTATTAACTTTGTTTTGCATAATTTCTCTTGGTGCTAAAAGAGAAATGATCATCTCAAGGACATAGAATCATCGCTATGCAAAAATAATAAAATTGCATCCTTTAACAATTGTGTATTTAAAAAAAAAAAAAAAAGGAAAATCACCAGAACCCTTCAGGTGGTAAGCATGTGGGAGATATTTTTCCCTACATTTTCAAAATTTTGTATTGGCCATATATTATTTTAAAATTTTAAAAATACACTTAATGAAAACCACGCAGAATTGAAAACCCCAGTCCAAATATGGCCCATGATGAACTATCCTACAGTACCTAGATAGCTGCTTATCTACAGCAGATCCATAATTCTGAGCCACATTCCCCTAAATTCCCATAGTTTTGCTTTACATGCTCTCTAGCTGTATAAGTTCAAGTGAAGACATGTATGGGTTTGAAGGTAATTCGGCTCCCAAGAATTTTATATACAGCTAAACAGAATTGATTTTTGGATGACGCCCCTCACAGTACCCCATGTTGAATTAAAGAATCAAGTCAACTGCTCTCAACAGTAGCTCTTTATTTCAAAGCATGGCTTTGCCCACTTGTGCCTTTTCCCCAGACATCTAAAGATCCCCATTATGGACTTAGGACCTCCTTGTAAGTTACACAGAAAGGGTTCAAACCCTCTATTATGGCTTATACCTATTGGAAACGTTCTGAATTTCCTGCATTTTTGGAACACCGTGAATGTGTGTTCATATTTCCCTGTTCACACCTGACCAGCACGGAAGGCTCCAGGCTGAATGTTTGAGGTTCCCTGCACTGACTTTGGGAGAAAGTAAAGGCACGTGGTTGGTTATGCCAGGGGGCGGATGGGGGGCGTGGTCTCTTCACAGAGAGGAAAGGCTGCATGGGGATGCTGTGTTTTGTGGTCTTCCGTGGGGAAGAGGTGGGGGGTGATTCTGCCTGTGATGTGGGTCTGGATGCACATCCACGAGAACGAATGAAAAAATCAAATGTTTTCATTGTTGGCAGCGCTGGGCACCGAGACTCCTGCTCCGCTTCTGAGGGTACCGCCAGCCTGGACCCGTGCATCGTGTCCCGGGAGGTGACCGAGCCAAGCAAAAGCCCCCAGGAGGCCAGGGGCCTGGAAGGTTCTCTGCCAGCCTGCCCACAAGTGCCCTGGGAGCAGGAGTGCCCTTCCACCTCCATGCCCTTTGCTAAGGGCCCTCCGGACTCTTGCTTGGCGAGCCCAGTAGCAGAACCTGAAGACTGGCCCCTCTTTCAACACCCCAGGCGGGAACTTTCCCCAGATGCCTGCGGGGAGGCCCCAACAGCATCTGTCCCCGAGGGGGGCAGTTCTACTCAGTGCAGCGTGGGTGCTGTTGTCCCCAGTGCCGGGCACACGTTGTCTTCCTCTAGCCACACTGACCGGTCCCTGGGGGTTTCACCAGCACCTCGTCAAGAGCTGATGAAGGGACAGCCTGGAGAAGATAGCCACCCTGGTGATTTCAAGTCCCAAGGGAATGAGGCTGCAGGTGGCCAGCCCCTGGCAGAGGCCAGGCAGGGGGCAGCCTCTGTGCCACAGGCCCTGGAAGCCTCTGCTGCCACTCAGCCGGGCAAGGCAAGCTCACCTGGTCCAGAGGAGTCCCCCACAAAGCCCGAGACCCTGACTCTACCAGAGCCAGCCCCCAGAGCCTTGGACAGGGACAAATGCCAAGGGGAGGTGCCACCTCGGGCTTTTGCTGATGGCTCAGGATTGCCTGGGGCCTGCCATCCCATGAGGAGCCCTGCAGGGGCTGCCCAGGAAGATGACACAAATTCCCGGGAAAGCTGCCAGCAGCAAATGGGAGCACTTCTGGCACACGTCAAGCCACCCTGTAATTCACCGAGCTGCACTCCGATGCCTGGGGCCAGGGGCTCTGGGAAGGAGACCGGGGAGGCCTGCGATGCTCGGGGTCACTGGCAGGCAGGGGGGCCAGGAGGTGAGCCCGGTGCAGCCAACCCTGCAGCGGCAGACAGCCAGCCCCGAGGGGCTTTGCTCACGAGCACGGAGCTTTCCCCACCTGCACCGATGGAGGACAAACGTCCCGCTTCGGGCTCCGCTCCATCACCAGCTGCTCAGGCCTCTGCTGCTGCAGAAGAATCCAGCTGGTTGACCGGGGAGATGGTTTCCGGGGCAGAGATGCCAGTTCTTACAGATCTGGCCAAAGAGTTAGCAGATGCAGGGTTGGCAGGACGGGAAAAGCTCGAATCTGATCTCGGAAGTGAGGGAGAGGGTCTAGGAGGGAACTGTGGAGAGGGCGCTGCCCCTTTGCTCCAGGAGGACAGTGGAGAGGTCTCAGTGAGGGACCAAAAGGTCCAACAAGGGGTACTGCCCCCTGGCCCAACCAGTGTATCAGATGAAAAGGCCAGAAGCACACTAGGGTCAAAGGATGAAGCCATGGCCCCTGAAAGCCCAGCTGTGGCTGAGGAGGAGAGCAGACTACCCGGGGCCAACTCCAGGGGACAGGAAGAAGTCCCAGAGCCACTTGATGGTAGAGATCCTGAGAAGCCATGGGAGGAGCAACCCGGGGCCTTAGGCTGCAAGCCCAGCCCAGAGGTGGAAAAAGATGAGGTTTCAAAGCTAAGCCATGATGTGGACAGCAACGTGCATCCCAGCACAGATTCAGCACAGCCACCCAGGAGGGAGGGTCCCGGGCCCGCCAACAGGCCTGGCTCTCCACCCGAAGATGCAGTGTGGAGCTCGGTGACCTGTGGGATGGTGGGAGAAGCCCATGTTGTCCAGGCCTCTGGCTCACTGCCCAAGCGCCCGGAGAAGGAGCTCGCCCTGCCCCCCGGGCCGGATGGAACTGGTGAACACATTCTTCCCAAAGAAGCTGTCTGGGAGGTGCTGGGATTGCAGACCCAGTGTCCCGACCCCCTTCGGGATGTGGGGGGATTGGAAAGAATGGACGCTCTTCCTGCTTTAGAATCGGAGAAATCAGACTTCCTGTCAACTTCTGCGACAGAGGTTATCCCCAAAGCCCAGGAGGCGGAGAGCCCATCTGACACAAAGATGAGGAGCTGCCCATCGGCGCGGAGGCCCAGCAGCTGTGCCGGGGAGGGCTTGCTGACACCCTCGGGCCAACCTTGTGGGCTGGGGCATGAGGCAGCTGGTCAGGAAGTCCATGCTGATGGGCCACATCCCCTCGAGGGGGAGAATTTGGCAGTGGATGGTGGGCTTACAATGCTCAGCCAGGAGCGAGATCAGCAGGGAAACCCGTCCTGCGACAGCTGGCCACAAGTAGCTGCTTCTGAGGGGCCCCCAGTATCTTCTGAGAACCGTCTCCAGCCATTGCAATCAGAACCAGACGCATCCGTATCTGACATGCTCAGGGAGAAGCCCCAGCAGTGTGAAAATGAGAAAGAGACTTATCCAGGCAGTCGAGGCTTTAAGAACCTGCACACAGATGCTTCTCCAACCCTCCTCCCTATGGGACCTCTGGAGGACGTGTGCTTGCCCACCCATGGCAGAGAGGAACAAGTTTCCAGATTGGAACTTCAAGAAGAGCTCCCCAAAGGCAGTCTAGCTGATGCTCCTGGTTTGGCTCCCGGGGGCGTGGTTCCGGGGAGTCCGGCGGCGACAGAAGCACCAGAGCTGTCAGCAACAGTAGGACGGGCATCATCGGAGCCAGGGCAGGATGAGCGGGAGGGAGCGTGCCGTGGCGGCCTGCCTTCCGGAGTCTTGCCCCCTGCAGCAGATGCCTCCAAGGACTCTCTCGCAGGTCACCTGAGCAGAGAGGAGAGTCGCTGTGCGCAGCAGGGGCCCAGCAAGCCCCAGCAGGAACAGGCAGGTGTGTTGCAAGCCGGCGGCCGGCATGAAGAAGCATGTCTCAGGGATGCAGAACTTTCTCAAGCCGATGACGCTCAGCCCCCGCTCCAGGGGTTGGGTAAGACAGAGAAGGCAAGTGGGAACACAGAGGTGACCCCACCTTGTGGGCTTGACTCAGTCGCCCTCCTGGATGCAGCTCAGGGCCCGCCAGCCCCGGTGCCCGCCAGCTTTAGAGTCACACCCAGCCAGGATGCCCCAGACACAGAGGCGTGTGGGGAAACGCAGGGAGGCGGGCAGCAACCTGTGCCGGCCCCGCAGAAGGAAATGGAGCTCCCCACCGCCTCAGATGCAGAGGCCCCAACGCTCCTTGGAAGTTTCCCAGCGGCCAAGGATCAAGGTGCGGACCGTGGGGCTGCCGAGACTGGTGGGAATGTTGAGGGAGGGGACCTGGGGGTGCGGCAGGCTCTGGAGGGGCCTACGGAAGCTGCTCTGAGTGGAGGCTCCCTTTACACTGAGCAGCGTGCCTCCCCTGGGAAGGAAGATTCTACCTTTGCCCCGCGTGAGCCAAGCCGAGCAGAGCCGCTCTCGGCCAGCTGCCAGGATGCCTCACTGCCAGCCGGAGAACTGGGGGGGATTCCCGGGAGCAAGGTGGATATTTCTGCAGCCCAGGCTGTCCCCAACCCAAAGAGACCCCTGCCCCCTGGGCCACCAGAAGAGGCCGCTCCAGACACTCCTTACCTGCACATCGATGGTGCTGCTGGGAAAGGGGCAGGCCCCCGTCCCATAGAAGAGCCCCTGCCGGCCTTGGGACAAGCCACCCCCATGAAGCTTTCTGCCGGCTTGCTTGCCCCTCCCTCACAACCAGGAGCGGCCAGTGCAGAGGTCTCTGTGGTGCAAGTGAGCAGTGGAAGCCCCAAAGCTGGAAACGTTGAAGGACCCGCGGCCTCCATCCCCTACCTGGACAGGGTGCCCCTTCCAATGGAGAGTAAGCAGATGACAGGGGAGGAGGAGGAGGCAAGAGCCCCGGGGGCAGACACCCAGCCTGGCAGGATGCCAGCACACCCCACCAGCAAGGAGAGCTTGGCAGGTGAGGCAGCAAGGGAGCCGGAGGGCAGTGGGGAGAGGATGGTAGACCCTCCCGAGGATCCACGGAGAGGTGCGTCAGGCGGTGTGGACGCAAGCTCCAAGCAGATTGGCAAGATCACGGGGTTCCCTGACTTCAGGGAGCACATCACCAAGATCTTTGAGAAGTCTGTGCTCAGAGCCCTGACCACCGATCGGCCCCAGAGCGCAGCGGGAGAAAAGGCAGGAGCCGAGGGGAGCCTGAAGGGTGAGGACCTCACCGGGCCACGCCCAGAGAAGACTCCAGATGGGGCTCAAGGAGTGGCCATCGCCCCTCTCCTCGCTGTTCCTTCAGGACTCGGGGTGGACTCAAAGGAAAAGAAGCAAGAGTTGCCTACAGAGGCTAAGCTCCCCTGTCTGGTTCCCCAGGATCCTGCTCTGGAAAGGCCGCTGGGCTCCGCAGAGACAGCCTCGGAGCCGAGCCTGCCAGGTGCCGGTGTGGGAAAGGAAATGACCAGTGTCCCACCGATGGTGCAGGACGGTGAGAAGCCAGATGGGGCTGGGGAGGCCGGGCCGGGGCGAGCAGGCCAGGCCCCTTCCCAGCAGGCTGGGGGCCAGAGAGAACGAGCCTCAGGTCCTTCCCTGCCCACTGCCATTCTGGAGACTCCCATGGGAAAAGCTGCGGACTTCCAGGGGGAGCCCCCGAGCCACCGAGAAGGGGCCTCAGTTTCAGAAGACAGAATTCCTCCTGGAATATACCCCCAGGACCATCAACCCAGGGAGGATGGTGCCTGGGGCTTTGCTCACACAGGGGGTCCGAGTGACGTGTCCACCTCTGTCCTGGGAGCATCTTCTCCCCATAGGGGGGTTTCAACTGTGGCCGAGGCTGCCTGTGCACCCGGGACCCCCGCCACCCCTGGGGGCGAGCAGAGGTGTGGAGGTGGTGCCCTGGGTGAGCCGGGTGCTCCCGAGCCAGAGGCTGTGGAAGTAGCAGCCACGCCCCTGGAGCCCGGCTTGGGGGCAGGAGCTGCTGGGGAAGCAGAGGGTGACGTCACTTCGAGCACAGCTGAGACCAGGGCACGTGTGGCTGGGGACCCGCCCGAGACAGGTACAACAAGGATGTTCTCTGGTGCTGCTCACGGGGACGCAGGCTGCTCTGCTGGGGCCCCAGGCTTGGAGGATGACGCCACTCTGCTGGGGGCCAGCCCGGCTGGGCTCCTGCAGGCTAAGGAGCAGCCCGGGCCCCAGCCCCCCACTCCTGTTGGGGGCGGGAAGGTGCACGTCTCTCCACCGCTGGAACCTGACAAGGCTCGGGACATGAGACCCCAAACCCTGGCTCCGGGAGTGCTCCAGGCCGAAAGGTACAGAAAATAACAAACTCCCAGGGGGACGTGGGGCCAGTGTCAAAAGTGAATCCCACCCCAATTTTTAAGAGTCAATCAAATAGATGGGTGATGTTTTAAAAAGATAGGTTTTCTATGCTTAACGGTTTAAATTTACCTGCTTGCAACTTCTGGATGTGCTAAGATTCTGAAAAAGGTGAGAGAAATGGTCGGAAGTGGGAAGCTGCATGTTGGTCCCAAACAGAGCCCTGTTTGCTCTGCGTTCTTGAGTTCATCTCACTCAAACTGTCAGAAAAGAGTGAAATGTGTACTAGCTGGCCACGCTCTAGGGGTGTAGGTCAGAGTCAATCATAGGTTTTTCTGGACCCCAAATACCTTTGCTTTTGAATCTGGATTTATTTACACAGAGAAGCCCCAATGATCCAAGAGCATCCCAAAGCCATTGATTGCTGGAAGGTGATTTTTTTTTTCTATGCATTTTGGGGTAGTGGCGCCTTAAAGCTTGAATTGGGAGATGGACTTTTTTAGTCACATGTGGAGAGAAATCCCCTTCTTACCATCTATTTCTATGTATCGTCCCAGAAGCAGCCCCGGGCCTGGCCTATCCACCTTACCTTCCATTCCCGAGAAGGAAGCTCCAGATGCCCCAGACGAGGTCATCTCGGATGCGGCCAGAAGCATGGGAGGAGCAGAAAGGTCAGTGAAAAGGGGTCAGTCTTTGCAGAACCATGAGGCCTTCATCGGAAGACACAAGGAGAGGCAGAGGAGAGTTCTGTTTACACACGAGTCTTTACATAAGCAAGGAGCAAAGAGCCTTTCCCATTCTTTATACAGGGAAAGCAGTGCCCAAGGTGATGGAAAGCTCTACTGTTATCCTCGGGATGGAGTGAATTTCACGTCTGAGCTTATTACCTTAAAACAAAACCAAACAGCCTTACTGAGATGTAATTCACATACCATATAGTTCATTCATTTAAACTGTACAATTCAATAGCTTCTCAGAGTTGTGCAAACATCCCTACAATCAACTTTAGAACCTTGTCATTCCCCTCCCCCCAAAGAAACCCTATACCCCTTGGACATCACATGCCAACCCCCAGTGCTAGACAAGCACTAATTTGAGGCCAATGGGTTCAACCCTGATTGAGTCTCCGGAGCAGGAACGTCGTCTCACCAACCCCAGTCACACTCCAGAGAGATCTCGAGAGTAGGGGACAAACGACAGACGTAACCGTGAATGCAGGACCCTCACACGTGTGTGAAGTGTGCCTCCCACGTCTCTCCTAAGTGAAATGCCACCGAGGACTGTAGAAAAGCAGCTGCTGAGACGGGAAAGGGAGATATTGTGAACATCCTTAGACCTCTGGCTGTTCTGGTGCTCTGTGTGTGTGAGTGAGTGTGTGTGCATGTGCGTGTGTGTGAGTGCGCGTGCGTGTGTGTGTGTGTGTGCATGCCTGTGTGTGAGTAGAGCAGGGTTGGACTTTAAATTAGTACCTGGGGCAGCCCAGTGTATCCTACCGAACAGCTGCAGGCACGTTAGAAACGATTTGATTCATAATGTGCACACGCGGAAAGAATGTGCGATCACCTGTTTTTCGAGTCTGAGCGCTTCCCCCCACCCCCGGCTGCCTCTCTGCCCTGACCAGGGCACCTCCTGTAACTCTGGGCCAGTGAGATGCAGGTGTGTGCTGGCCAGGCAGGGGCAGGAGTAAGGACAGGTCCACTTGTCTCTGCTGCTGATGTAGCACCAGAGTCCTCCCATGGCCCTTGCTGGTCCATCTGTGTGATGCTCCCAGTTCACCCAGGACGAATATCTCATAGGAAAATCCTCTCCCTCCCCTGGATAAGATATTAACCCCCCTCCCAACGTCCCTGGAGGTGTTACCCCTTCTTGGAGAACTTGGGGCCAGACGTATGTACAGTCGTTCAAGAAACGGTTCAGGGCTGATCGTTCTAATTGCTTAAACGTTTTATTTATTTATTTGTTTGGTTGGTTTTTTATGAAATTTTTTAAAAGATTTTATTTATTTATTTGGCAGAGAAAGAGATCACAAGTAGGCAGAGAGGCAGGCAGAGAGGGGGAAGCAGGCTCCCCGCTGAGCAGAGAGCCGGATGCGGGGCTCGATCCCAGGACCCCGAGACCATGACCTGAGCCGAAGGTAGAGGCTTAACCCACTGAGCCACCCAGGCGCCCCCTGCTTAAACGTTTTAAATCATAATTTCTAAATTAGTATTAGAACTCTGTAAGGAATAAAAAAGTATAAGGCACGAGAGAAAAGGCCACAACCTCACCACCTAATGACTGCTGGTGTTTATGGTGTGTGTTTTCAGCCACTGTTTTCTCTGTCTGAGCATCTGCACAGTGCTCTCTCCCTTTGCCATCAGAACTCTGCAAGCCTGTCTTCGTGGCCAAAGGTGTCTGACTTAGCACTTCACTGAGCAGCGGACATTTTGGTGGGTTCCCTTCGCCCTGATGGAGGGTCAGCTAAGGGGTAGACTCTCAGACTCTCTTGATTTGGCAGCCGCTCGTCCCCTGCGAGCAGAGGTGTGCTGTGAGTGCAAAATACATCCCAGGGGGGTGAAGACTTCGTACGGAAAAAAAAAAAACAAAAAAAAACATAAAACCAATCATTCATAGTTTTTATGCTGGTGTATGTTAAAATAATATTTCGGGTGTATTGGGTGAGAATATATTATTAAATTCCATTTCACGTGTTTCTTTCCCCTATTTCTAATGTGGCTACCAAAACTTTTAAAATTACATATGTGACTTTGGCATTCGTGGTTTGCATGTGTGACTCACAGTCGACTTCTGGTTAGATCATTTGGCTCCAGAACATGCACTGCCCTGGTCCTTGATGGAGGAGGGCTGGCCTTTCCTGTCCTTTGGGTTCTTGGGAAAAATGCCTGCCCCCGTCTCACTGGCTGAGGATTTCCAGAAAAAATTCCGAATGGACCCTCCGCCCCAGCCTGCTAAGTGGGGTGACCTTCAACTCCCCTCCCTCTAGGGGAATTATGGGGGCAGCGACATCCGGGCAAATAAGCCGTCACAGATTCCAACTTAGGCTCGGTAGACCATCAGAGGTCTCCCGGACGATAGAGCCCAGCTCCGTCCAACAGAAATAGGACGCGAGCCATGTATGTGATCTGAAGTTTTCTAAAAGCCACATTCAAAACTAAACAGAAACAGGTAATATTAATTTCAATAACATATTTTATTCCACCCAGTATATCACAATATAAAAAATTTTAACAAGTAATTGATATAAAGATGATTAATTTGAAATTCTACCTTCTTGTTTTCATACGAAGTCTTTGAAAGCTGGTGTGTATTTCATGCCGTGGTGCATGATTTGGACCAGTCACATTCCAAGTAGTCAATAGCCACAACTGGTGAGGGGCTGTTCTACCTGACACCACAGCCCCTCCCAGAGCTCTGACACCTGTCAACAATGAGTTCCAAGCCTTCCCATAGGGAGCCCAAATGCCCACATCTCTCTGCCTAGCACCCTTGTTCCTACAAGTTAAACAAACGTTGGAAACACTTCTGGCCTTGGGGGGAGGAGGCTTAGGACCTCTGGCGAATCCTTTGGCCACAAGGGATCTGTGCAGTGGACCTGGGCGGGCCTCAGAGAGAGTTCAGCCCAGGCCAGGGGGCACACATCCTGGGGAAGAGTGGGTGTTGTGAAGGTGAAATTCAGCAGTGGCCTGGGGTCGGTTAGGAGGCCACACAACGGGTAGACGCTGCCAAGATCTGGGTGGGGATAGATTTCAAAGCAGGGGCCCCAGATTCACACCACAGCTCTGCCCATTAGTTACATCTGTAACCTCAGTTTTCCCATCTGTAGAATGGGGAGGACATCTGTCCCTGCTTCATGGAGTTGCTGTGAGGGCTGAGGTCATCGTTTCCAGCACAATTCTGGCACGTTCTAGTGCTTGCTGGCTGTTCCTGAGTGCCTTTCCGTGGTGTGGCCTGTTCTCGTGCTGTGACCTGAATGGCCATGTCTCCTCCTGTGGAGACTGTTCTCCTCAGGGTGAGGTTCCAACCCGGCTGCTTCCTTTCCTCGTGCTGAATTCTTCGTCTGGGAAAATATCTTAATGACTCAGGAGAGTAAATTCTTTCTTACCCCCTCCTGGGTAGCCCACAGTGATTTGCTTCAACTTGGAAGTTTGTGAGATGGTGTTTTATTATACCCAACCTTATGAATATCTTTCGTTGCGTACCATACTATATTATATGGAGTTGCCCCGGGAAAAGCAAAGCAAACCGAAACCAATGTTTCTAGTCTCTTCTTGGTTATCAGGTGACGTGCATCTGTTGAATTTACTGAATTTTTTTTTTTTTTTAAATAAAAAAAAAATTTTTTTTTTTTTTTAATTTTTATTTGTCAGAGAGAGAGAGAGACCACAAGTAGGCTGAGAGGCAGGCAGAGGCAGAGGGAGAAGCAGGTTCCCTGCCGAGCAAGGAGCCGGATGTGGGACTCGATCCCAGGGTGCTGGGATCATGACTTGAGCTGAAGGCAGCCGCTTAACCAACTGAGCCACCCAGGCGTCCCGAATTTACTGAATTTTGAAGATTCTGTTGACCTGAAAAGAGCTGATACCATGGATCAGGTTCATTGTCTTGGAAATGTCTCTTTTCTACCTCGGTGACAGGATAGTATGGGAACCCGATCTCATATACCTGTAGGATGTTAGGAGCACACGTATGTTTACTGCTTTATTTCCCCGATTTTGAAGCCCACTTGGCACTTCTGGTGGATACGCTCTGGGTATCCTGTGGCTTTGTTGTCCCCCACACTGGATGGGTACATGCGCACCCCGTTCTGGGAAACAGGTGTTGATTTCTGCCACTGTGTGGTCTCTGCCTCTGGAAGATCCAGGGGCCTTCAGGCAGCCTCAATTTATTTTTAGATTGTTCTACAGAAAGTACTTGAATAGATTTCAACTTTGTATATATACGACTCTCTTCCTTGTGGATGGAAAATCTAGACTTGGGTATTCTGATGACGTACCATGGATGGTGAGGGCTGTAGTGCTGGACCTGTCTTGGACATCCGCAAGCTTGCTTTGCTGAACATTTATTGACAGTGGTCTTTTTCTTTTCCATTTGGGGAAATGGTGGGAAAGCTATCCTTTCCAATGCGTAGTGCATTTTGAGAGGATTAAATTATTTCCAGATATTCGGGGTCCTAGTGCAGACCTAGGCTAAACCATGAAGGACCGTTGGGTTGAAAGTTGAAGGAGGTCAGGAGAGGGAGAGCACAGCGGGAGGTGGTGGGTGTTGTGCCGAGGAAGTCCCCGCCGGGCCTGAGAGCCGTGCTAGAGTCAGCCTTAACCTTCCTCCCACGCTCGCTCCCCACTCGCTCTCCACTTCTTCCTTCTCTCCCCTCCTTCTAAAATTACCAGCTGTGACATCGTGTTTTCGAGTTTAAGAATAAGGTTTCGAGGATGGCCACCGCTGTGTAAATTAAGGAAAAGAGGGTGAGGGGAAGGAGTCAAGCATAGGTCTCTTAGATAAAACCAGGACAACAGATGCCCCTCTTCACCGAGATCCTTCTGGGTTTGCATTTGTATTACTTTGTTTAGATTATTTCAAACTTCTTTTTGAGAAGTGTTGCGTTGTGGCAGAGCCCAGCAGAGCTCAGGCACCCCCATGACTTGGAGCAAAGTTCTCTCCAAACGGGAGACACTAG